CCCTCTTTGGCCTGGTGGTTCTCTGGGCTCAGCAGGACAAGAGCAAGAGGGACACAAGGGACCAGTTAGGCTTCCCTGGGACAGCGGCCCCCAGGTTGCGGCGTGGTCCAAAGAGGGCGGGGGGGAGGACGAGCGGTGCCAGGGTGAGCGCACACTGCTGATGAGAAAGCGAAGTGGGGTTTCGAGGCATAGTAGCTGTGAATTAGGGTTCCCTCATGGTGTTCCAGAAAACTAAGCGCGTCCCTTAGAGACCGCCTTCGGGCTGTTTTCTTTGGTGTCGGTGCCACTGTGGCTAGAGCACATGGGACCCAGGCTCCCAGCAGTCACGTTCAGCCCACGCTTGCTCCGGTGTTCTGTCTTGCTCAGAGGGAGAGCCATATACCTGGTTAGTTGACTGGGGGACACTTAAGTGATCAGTGTGGTCCAACCCCCAGAAATGCTGAAATTTGACAGCACGAAGTATGAGCTCTGGAAAAAGCCTTGCCTTACATGCCAAACCTATCACCAGCGAGCCCTATGTACACTCTCCTAAGCCCCCACATGCATGGCTGTCGTGATCATCCCCATTTTCCAGGGGAGCAAACTGAAGTAGCCAGAGGCAAAAAGACTTGCCCCAGGTCACACAGACAACAGGGGAGCTGGGATGCACAGCCGAGCCCCAGTGCTCAGCCCTAATGTTCCAGGAGCTGTAGCACAGATGAGCTCCCGGGGGCAAAAATCACCTGGCGAGCCCTGGAGTGCCGACAGAGCACGGGGTCTCCACCATCCCTGACGGAGGGGCAGCCACTTCAGTGTGCGCCCTGCAGCCTGCTCCACACCCTGCCTGCTAGGAAGCCCCTCCTAACGTGAAAGTGAACGGAGGTAGCCCTCCGCAGGGCAGCTCCTGATGCAGGCTTCACAGCCTTTCACCGCGTCCGCCGCACGTTTAATAGATGCCATCTCATCTACTCCTCCTGGGTCAAGAAGAATTCTCCCCACGTCCAGACACAGGGATGTACAGAGAAGTTAAGTAATCTACCTACATGCGCATACCCAGTGCTGGTAGGAGGCAGGTTTTGAACCCAGATCTAAGTCCGAAACCTGGGCTCATAACCAGTTCCCCACACTAGGCTCCTGGGAAGTTTAAGATACGCTTTTCAATGAAGGTCAAGTGTGGATCCGAGGCCCACGTGTGCTGGGCTCCAGGTAGCCCCGGCCACCCTCCGACCGCCGGACTTGCTACTGTGGAAGGGCCCCTTGCCCTGCCTGGCTCCCGCTTTCAGTGAGGATGAACACCTTGCCCTGCTTGCCCTTTTCCACAAGGTGGCCAGGAGGCTCCTGAGTGGCAGCGGTGTATTAACACACACGAGGACTCCTTTGTCACTTGTGTCTGTCAGGGACAGATGAGGCTGAGAGCAGGAGATGCTGTTCCTGGAAGACACCTGCCAAGTCTCCATCAGAGAAAGAGACCTGGGCTGGTTTTGAGGCCCACGAGGAGCTGAACCGACAGGCTCCGGGGGAAAGAGATTTCCCAGGAGCCTTGGTAAAGTGGGGCTCCATCCAACCCTCCCTTCTCCCTGGCAGGCAGCAGAGCGCTGCAAGGTAGGCACACTCACCTGGGTGGCCAGGATGCTGTGCTTGATCCCCGTGTTGTGTGTTCCGGTCCCAATGATGCCACCTGCAGTCACATCTGACATGGCTCCCAGGCTGGGCTCGGCAGGACAGAGCGAGAAGGACACAAGGGACCAACCAGTTAGGCTTCCCTGGGACAGTGGCCCCCAGGTTGCGGTGTGAGGCCCTCAGAGCAGAAGAGTAGATTCATCTCCTCCCTGGGTTCTTGTCTCGCACTTCTCATGACTTCGCTTGTCTGGCTCGCTGGCCCTCCTGGTCTCTGAGCCTGTTTCCTCACCTCGGTGACCTGTCACATGAGCTGGCAGGGGCATGGCCCAGCTCTGGGGTGGGGGTGGGGGGGCCTGCCTGCGTAGCTCTGGGTTTCCACAGCCTACAAGCTCCCTTCTCTCGGTCCCCCACCCATCAACAATATCTTCTCCACCAACCCAAGACCCCAGTGTTCCTGCTAAGACTTCTTTAGATCCAGCCTAGTAAGGCCTGAGAAGTCCCGTGGGACCTGGGTCAGATAACACACAGACATCCCAAGCTGCTATGAATAGGTAGGAACCTCCCTGAGTTGTGAGGAAGGAGAAGACCATTCTTAGAAACCTTCAGGGGCGTCTCGGGCCATCTAGAATAAACCCCGCCTCCTTCAGCCCAGAGTTCCAGGCCCTGGAATGAATAAAAGGTTCTGTGTACACAAGAGGACCAGATTTCTTAAGGGAAGTTGTATCAGGCAGTGATTTTACACGTTCTGTGACCTTGGGTGTGTCATTTAACCTGTTTCCTCATCTGTAGAAGGAGAATAACTCTCTCAGATACTGTGTGAAGATGCGGCTAAGTGCCTGGCGTACAGTGGTTGCAAAGGGTGGCAGTCCCCTCTCCGGGCTCCTTCCATTGGCATGATGTGTAAAGTACAGTGGCGGCGTCCTCCGCTGCTGTCCCAGAGCCGGTCCTGTTGAGCTGGGCTGTCTGAGAGAAGGAGCCAGCAAATCTCATGTGCTCCTGGGGCATGCAGTCTGGGGCCAGAAATTAGAAAGATATGCCCAGATCTCAGGGTCAAGGAAAGAGCGGGTCAGGAGTATAAGAGGCTTACTTCTCAGGAGCTTTCTGAGATATTCCAGCCCCAGCTTAAAGGAGAGGAAAGACAATATTTACTGAAGGTCTATTGTTTGCCAAGGTGATTGGAGCCTTACATCGTACATAACAGTTTCACAATTAATGGGCTTGGTGTGGAAGGGCAGGGATTTGAAATGATCCCTCCCCTCAGCAGACCCAGAGCCCCGAGGCAGGCAGGCTCCCCAAAATGCAGGCTGGAGGACACCAGTGGCTCTGCTCTGATTTCAACTTAAGTTGACAAGCCGACAATCAGAAAATCTAGCTCATGCCTTCCTGCAGAGGGGCCTGGGGGCTGCCCTGGCAGGACAGTAAGAGGATGAGAGAGACCGAAGCCTTTTCCCGTCCCCCCTTGTCCTCCCCTCACCCTGTGTCCGCTGTCATCTCTGTTCCTACTCACTGGACTGCTGGGAAATATGGCCCCTTCTGAAAAGACCGGAATGTTAAAAGGGGGTCGCAGACAGCCCGCGCCGGGGGGATGCTCCGGCGCGTGGGAAGACACAGGCACGATGACGTTTGTCACAGAATTACGAATCACAGCGAAAAACAGAGCCGCCTAAGTGTGCACAGGGAGGGTGGTCGATCCAGCTGCGACCTTCTTCCCTTCTCCGTGAAGTTTACGAAGACGAAAGAGGAATGTGGAAGAGAGGCTGTGACGGAGTAGGAGAAAGCAGGCTGGGGACAGCGAGGCCCTCAGGGAGAAGGGCCTCGGAAGGAAAGACCAGGCTTCGGCCTCTGAGGGGATGGACATAAGGAGTCACGGGGGACAGTTCACTTCTGGAGGCTGTGGAACGAGGCATTGATGGAGCCAGGAAAATGAACGCTATGTACACTCTTCTAAGCCCCCACGTGCTTGGCTGTCGTGATCATCCCCATTTTCTGGGGGAGCAAACTGAGGTAGCCAGAGGCAAAAAGACTTGCCCCAGGTCACACAGACAACAGGGGAGCTGGGATGCACAGCCGAGCCCCAGTGCTCAGCCCTAATGTTCCAGGAGCTGTAGCACAGATGAGCTCCCGGGGGCAAAAATCACCTGGCGAGCCCTGGAGTGCCGACAGAGCACGGGGTCTCCACCATCCCTGACGGAGGGGCAGCCACTTCAGTGTGCGCCCTGCAGCCTGCTCCACACCCTGCCTGCTAGGAAGCCCCTCCTAACGTGAAAGTGAACGGAGGTAGCCCTCCGCAGGGCAGCTCCTGATGCAGGCTTCACAGCCTTTCACCGCGTCCGCCGCACGTTTAATAGGTGC